CCCAGTAATCCCTACAAACACCAGTGCCAGCTCTGACAGCCAGCCCAGTGGAAAAATACAGTGCACTTCTGTCACTATGCAAGGCAGCACAATTAAAGATTTAGTAACATGTATTAGAAAGATTTATTGCTGTAAAGAAAAATTTAAAAACTCATACTTGAACTCATTAAAATTAATTATAAACAATGCATATATAAGGCTGTTCTCTCATGTATTTGGCTTACACAATTTTGTGTGCTACATACAAACATACTGGCTTTGATATCTAATTAGTATCTCCAAAAATACCTGTCACGGTCAAACAGGCATTCATCTACACAAAACATGCACCTTAATACGTATGTGTCTGGTTATCAGAGCTGTTCTCAATGATATAAATCACCATCCTACCTGTTCCATGGAAGTAGTCTTTAGCCAGCTCAAACAGCCTTAGGTGCATGTTGGTAATGGGATTGAAGGACCCACAGGCGAGCAGTACTACTTCAGTCTTCCTCTCAGAATCATCCATAGCTACTCCTCACAGCTACAGAGCCAAGTGGAAAATGCTGGTGCTAGTTACTAGCTTCTACAAGAACAGATCAGATTAAAAACAAGTTATTCCTATTTACTGTGTTGCAAATAAGCAGAAGGTCAAATGGAACAATGTATTTTCCTTCCAACATTTCTGTGATTGTTCACATGATGCTGCATTCTTGTTTTTAAGAGATTAAAACCACAGCCTCTAGTTCTTTCTGCTTATTCCTGGTTAGAGATACAATGCATGGAGCACAACAGTAGCATGAAGTTGCAGAAAGGAGGTTGATTCTTCTATGGGGCTTCAGAAATCAAGGATGTAGAGAAAAGTGAGCATGCTAGGAAGAAGACATATGTACTAGATCAGTGAAGTCAAATTTGCCTTGCCCGTTTACTATCCAAGCAGCTGCAATTCCCTCCTATATGCAAGAGAAAACATCTTTTAAAATGAAATCACAGAAAACAGGCTGCTTGCCAGAAGAGAGGACAGTGTATTGCCTGCTCTGAAGAAAAGCAGCTCATGAAGAAAAACTTCATGAGGAGAGATTATATATCCTGATTGCAGGACAAACTTTATTAGAACTTTCTAGGTTTTTTAAGATGCCAATGTCAATCAACTGCCAGGAGACACACCTCCAGGGAACCTCCGTGTAAGAAACTTCCTTCTATTACTTACAGGGCAAGATAGAACTTCCTGTGACTGTTCCCACTGCTGCTGCTCTTAACTTGCAGCGAGTCTTTCTAGCAAGATCTATAGAATTAACATTATATTGTATTAAATTCTGGAAGAGATGGGGGTTGACGTTTCTTTGTTCAGGATTTATTTACATTTTATATGCTCTTGGTATGTGGGAAGAGAATGCTAGGGACTAAATGTGAAAACAACTTGTGCTGCAGGAAGTCAGTGATAGGTGTAGAAGTAGAACAGATGATAGAAGAGTGAATTAAAAAAAAAAAAGTTTAGTAAAAGCTGAAATTAAATACCAGATTTTTTTTTCCTTTTTAAAAATACAACAGCACTGTTCCAATTTTGAACTTCAGTTTCCAAAAGCTGCTTAAGAATTGATGAAAGTAAGGACATTTCTCTACTTTTTTGTTTCTACTCACACTCCATGGATTTTTTTCTTCTCTGTGTTCTTTTCTTTCAAGGAGAATATTCTGCCTTGCCAAGATGGTTTCCTTTAGCCTGGCCCTGAACAAATGAAAACTGGAATACGTAATGTGCCATTCTCTTGCTGTTTGTGAGATGTCTGAGACATCTGTGGTGAGCCCTGAATACTCTGCCATTATTTCTACAGCAACATCCCTGCCTGCAAAAATCCCACAAGGTCACTCTCACATTCTGTCTCCTTTTCAAAGGAGCTGAGTGATGTTCCAAGCAGACACAGTGGTGAGATACTATCACAGTTAAATCTAGTGACAGCTCCTATGTAGCAACATCAAATAGCCTTTGAATAAAAGGAAGTCTTGCAAGGGCTTGTATTTTGCAAGAGTTAGTACTTTTTTGTGCTTTCAAGAGTTTCACAAACTTTAAAAATGGTCTTTATTACTAAAGAGTAGTTCAGTGTTTGAAGGGTTTGGTGTTAGCTGGAATGCAGTTTTCACAGGGGCATCAGCTAGAAGAGTTACTATGGGAACAGGCAAGGAAAGCTGTTAGACCTGCCTTTGTAATGCATAAAGCCCTTTTTCCTACAGAAGGAGTTTCATACTGCACATTTCAAAAAGGTTTACTTTCTCAAAAAAAACACAAAACAAGGACAAAAATCATAGAAAAGTTTAAAATACATAATGCTTTTTCTGGAGTTAGAGCAATGTCCTTTTTCCTGCTGCTGGCAAAACTTAAAATTTTCAGAAGCAGGCAATTATTGCACAGTAAACTCACCTTGTAGCATTTAATAACTGCATAGAAATTGAAAATTTAAACATAATTTAATAGTTTGCACACACGCCTAATTTTCACTGACATCCTCTGCCTGTTTTCATAGAAAACAGCTGCGTGATTGATGTGGAGAGTGGAGGAAATGGCAGAGGCATCATCCCACGATTACCTTGCTGTTATGTCACCTCACAACCATCAGAGCTGGGATCTCTTTGTATGAAATTATGTTCCCACAGCTCTGTCTTTTTGGGGAAAGCACTGCAATTTGTGTATCCTAGAAGAGGAACAGGAGACTAGGTTCCAGTGATGATTAAAGCCCAGCCACTGCCTGAGGTGGATATGGAACTATGCCAGTTCTTCTTGTATAATAACATAAGTAGTTTTGATGAATTACGTCTAATTTGGCACTGCTTGACAACTCTAGTTATTGCAGTTTGGTCACAAGATCTAACCTAGCAGCCCAGCTCGTGCCACACAAGAGATGAAAGAGGTGCAGGTGTTTAGCTTCAGAAAACTGAGAACAGTCTTAAAATAATTAATGCTATCTTATGCCAAATGCTAAGTGAAGTATTAGTAAAGCCTCTCCACATAGATTTAAGATAGGGAAACAAAGTAAAATGGCCTTCAGTCAGACCTTCCATAAATGTAGGACATCCTGGATCATTTTCTCTTCATCTTCAGAAGGAAAAACGAGCTGCCCTGTGGTGTGTTCCTTTACATATATTGTTATATTCAATCTCATCATGCTTGTGCATAATTTAACCGATATTTAGCATGTGGTACTTGCAGCCCTGCTAGTGCTTAGCTGGACTGGACACATATTTGCACTAAAAACCACCCAGGTATGCCTACAGTTGGTCTTGAGATGGTTCTGACAACTAACCTGTTCACTTCTGCAGACGAGCAGCTAGTTGTGAGGATGCTCTGGTCAATCTCGTTCAAATTTTAGGGAGAATATGTATTCAATACGCTTCTCTACCTGTAAGAATAGACACATCATTAAATATTAAGCGTAAGGTGAGCAGGCTGTTGCTGGCTGCTCTCGCACTCCAGCCTCAGCACCCTCCTCCCAGCGCTCCGGGCCGCGGGATCAGCCTGGGCCCCGCACAGCGCCTCAGGCCCCGCCGCCCCCGGCCCAGGCC